TATTCTCTATATAAATGGTGTTTTCGCATTTTATTGAGGGGTCTCCAAATTATCCTACGACCACATTGGCAGGAAGTGTGAGCTCTCACAGCAAATACAACTTGCAAGCTCCCTTTAGTAATACAACATTAAAATGCATAAACAAACAATGATCAGCCATATAACCTGTCTCAAGCTCCAGTCCAACACAAGATAAAGCCCAAGCAATGAAGCAACTGGCCCAAGCCTATCAAAATTATTTGGACCCAAATACAACATAAGTTGAGCAGGCCTTGACTAGGTGCTTCCCTCTTCACGTTTTTGTACTTTGTTTGCAGTCCAAATCTGAACCAGATTGGTTTATTTTTGCATCTATTTGTTTGTAACTATATTTTGCACTCTTAGCTGACATAAGTATTATACTTTTTGTTTCATTTGCATTCACTGGAAATGCAAATTTTACATCGAAAAACTGACAAATTTTGCACCATCCTCCTACCTTGATTTGCTTCTTATCTCACTCCCAAAATCAAATTAGAAATAACCCTCCTAGCTCCATTCTCTTTCATATAAGGTGGGAAAACCAGTCAAATGTGAAGTGCATTTAGACAATTTGGAGCTTTTTATTTGTTTTGGACTATACAATCCAGTTTATGAAATGAAATTAAGAGAGAGAGAGAACTTTCATGAAATAGTAAGTACAAATACAGTTAGTGAAGAAGGGTGAACAACAAAAGGTGTACTCTTGATATCCTTTACTGATGTGGCAAATTTCTGCAGCCACAAAAACTCTTCACCCGTGGTCAAAATGAAGGGTTCCTCTTTAGCAAGTTTAATATTAGAATATTGAAACTTTCAACAGTCAATCAAACTTTCCATAAGTTTGATATGGAAATCATGTATGAGATGTATAAATTATAGCTAAAGTTGGAAGCTTTGTTGGTAGCATATATTTTGTAGCAAATTCGGACTCAAGGAAGGCATTAATAAAATATGGACCGTAGTCTGATGTGGATAGAAAGATTACACAGGTGGCAAAGCGCAAAGCCCCTACTTCACAAATGACTCGGATTGACCACGTCACCCTCCATATAGTAGAAACAATATCAAACTTATGTTATATAATCATACCGACAATTATCCACTTGAAAATACATAGATACCTACCCATTCCAGTGGAAACCAGATTCAGTCGGTGCAAGGCCCGTTTAAACAGTCTTTATAACCTTGCATTGTGAATATCTCTTCATGAAATAAAATACATGAGTATGGAGATATTCCCAATGTAAGGCTGTAAAGGTTGTTCGAATAGGTCTTGCATTGATTGAAGCCGATCTCAATCCAGTGGCAGGGTAATATGGATCGAGTGACCCATTAGGTATTAGGGTTAGGAAACAGGATTCAATCAGAGCAAAGTCCATTCAAACAGCCATTATAACCTTGCATTGGGAATATCTCCCCATGAAATAAAGCATAGAAGTATGGAGATATTCGCGATGCAAGGCTAGTGTTCGAATGGACTTTGCTCTGACTGAAGCCGATCTCAAGGGAAAAGGGTCAAGATGGGGTTGGGTCAAGGGTACTGATTGGGTTATAACAGTTGAGGACTTAGTTCAAATGAGGGAAAGGGTTTAGGGTTTGCATAGATCACTGTTTTCAAAATTGGATCGGATCGGACGTTCGGACTGAAAAAACCGGGAACCAGTCACTTGACCGGTTCTGTTTTCCTCCAAAACCGTTGATTTTGGTCAGTAAACCGCTGAACCGATCGGTTAACCGTTCGAACCGTTTTGACCATTTTCTAATTTTTTTTTATTTTTTTGTCAGAACGGGCCAGCCGTTCGAGTCCAATGGTCGGACCGTTCAAACCATTAACCAAACCCCTGATCGATTCGGTCACCGGTTCGTTTTTAAAACCCATGGCATAGATAGAAACTGAGAATTGGGAGATGCAGTGATGGCCGACAATTGGCTGATTCTCCGAGGGGAAAAGCAGGGGATTGACGGACTACCAAACTAAGGTTCGAAAAGCATTCTATTTTTTCCACCATTGCAACGATGGCCAATGACTGGGGTTTGATTTGTTCCTCACTGGAATGCAAACTTGTATTCACACCATATCTGGGTTCGCGAAACAGAGCTAACTATGGTCATTTTGATTCCCATCATCGGTTGGTGAAGAAAGAGAAAGTGGACTTTTTAAGGAGAAATCAGTAGAACTTCGCTGCTATTTGTAGGATTTTCAAGGTTCCTTGTAAATGATTTCTTTTTGGAAAATCTGGAATCACTGTTGTGTGATTGTTTGGTTGAAAATACACCATGCCATGGCAGAATATGTGTTCTGTACTATAGTAAAAAATTGGTAGCCTAAATCAGATCACACCAATATAGGCATTTTATAAGGTGTGGTGTGGTTCAGGCCACAACCAATATTTTGATTTTGTATATCTCATACACAATGTGAGGTGATCTATGCCGTCGATCAAGAGTAATGTTTTTTTGGTATTTTTAAGCAAAATGTAAATTAATTATACAAATTAATTTAGCATGTGATCAATTATTAACCATAACTAATATGAACTAATAAAAATTAGAATATGAATTGAAAAGATTGATATTGACTACAAAATTAAAAGTAATATAAAATATAAAATACATATAAAAGAGAACTAATACTAATGATAAATAATTACGAAAAATTTAATCTAAAAATATGTAAAAACGTATAAAATGAAATTTAAAAAGATAAATATTATTAATTATTACATACAAGACATAATTTAAAAAGATTTTGTGTGAAATAATAATAAATATTGATAAAATAAAAGTAATTAACTATGATTTTAAATATTAAAAATACGTGTGATGTACAGGAAAGGAAGATGGAACTATAGTCCCTATAGCATGGTTCAATGTGGTTGATATTTTGAGCATGGTGTGGTTGGTACCACAAGATAATGGGTTTCGAACCACACCACACCATAACTTAACGTGTCAAAGGTGGTGTTGTGTGGTTCAAAACCCACTATCTTGTGGTTCAACTATACTTCTAAACACCACCTTTGTGTGTTCTTTTCTAATTTTATTAGATCTGAAACATTTTAAACATTAGACTTTTTTGAATTTTTTTGATGTTTTCTTTTTTTTTTGGAAAAATTCTATTCATTTCTGCAACTTTTCTACATTTTTACTTTTTGTTTTTTTTTCTCTACAATTTATACACTTTTTTGTATTTTCTTGTTATTTATTTGCATTTTGTTGCTTTTCTATATTTTTATTTTTATGCAGTTTTTTTCTGCTTTTTTATATTTTTTTCAATTTTATATTTTCCTATAATTTCTATTTTTGCAATTTATGTTTTCTGGAATTTATGCTTTTTCCTTTTTTGTTATTTTTTTGCAATTTCTGCGCTTTTCTATATTTTTGTTGTTTTTTCTACAATATCTATTTTTTTCATTTTTTATATTTTCTGCATCTTTTTTTTCATTTTCCTGTATTTTCTGCTCTTTCATTTAAATCTTTATTATTTCCTATTTTTTCTGCAATTTCTGATGTCTTATATGAAATACATATTTTTACCAATTTCTTGTGTTTTATTATTTTCTTAATTGTAAAAAAAATGAACTTTATATATATTTTTAGTTGAAATATATAATTCTATGTTTTATACAATTAAAAAAAGTAAAAAAAAAATCTAATTTGAATTAAATGGTCAAATGGGTGGATTAGGATACAACGCACTCTGACCCACTAACATGAGTGTCAAATGGGTTAGTGAGTCAATGGGTGGGTTGAGGACCACCCTGCATCATATGCTCAATGCCAAAAAAGAGTACTCAATAAGCTTCATGACTTCTTCCATTTCCTTTTTACTTTTTTATGAAATCTATTGTATATTATATTCCTTTTTCTTGACCGAATTTTTTATCGTATTTTTTACTCTTGAGACTGAATTGCATACAAACTTTCCTTTATTATAATTTTTATCGTATTTACTAGTGATGATGCACCTAAAAGGTCTGTACTGCTGAAGGATTCTCATTAAACATATTCATGAATCATGATTACCCTGGCATCATTCAGTGACCCACTCTATAAAATTAGTAGGTAAAGTCAGTTTCCTTATTTCCAAGTTGCCAATGGGCCCAGTTAACTTGGTGGGCTTTAACTTTTTTGTAAGCATCAGTTTATTAGACTACCAACTGGGCAATTATTATGCTCAGTATAAGCCAATGGGCTTCATGACACTTTTACCAGGAATTCAGTTCCCAAGCGTTCGTATAAGCTAATGTTTTTGAACCGTCGTTAACTCAGACGGTTCGACTGTTTCGCCTTGAAATCGTTCAAGATTCTGTTTTATTTTTTATCTGTTCTTAGGTTAAAAATTGTTGATTTTGTCAGAAAACCATTGATTCAAACAGTCAAACCGTCGATTTGTTTGAAGAAATTGCAGAGAGGGGAGAAACTGAGAGTCTGAATCTGAGACACGAACTCAGATCTGATATCCAAAGAGAGAAAAGAAGAAGAAGAAGAAAAAGAAGTTGCAGAGAAATCGATCTCAAATCTAATATCTAAGAAAAAATGAAAAATCGATCTCAGATCTGAGACCCGAGAACTCATATCTCAGATCTCAAATCTGTCATCTGCATTGTTACCGCCATCGCCATCTCGCTGTCGCCGCTGAAAGTTGAATCATTCTCCTCCTTGTCCTTCTTCTTCCCTCCTTCCCTCTTTCTTTCCTTTCTCTCCTTTTCCTTTTTTTCCTTTCTCCTTCCTTTCTTTCTTTCCTTCTTTTCTTCTTTCTCAGCCAACAATAGTTTCTTGACTCTCTTCTCCAGTTCTCTTTCTCATATACAAGTATATAACTATTTGCTATTTCGCCCTAATGCAAACTGTTCGAACCATTCGATTCGAACGATCAAATCATTAACCCAGAAACTGATAGCTATAATGGTTTCGTTTCTGAGTCAGTTTTTAAAACCTTGGTATAAACTCAATTTACCAAAATAAAACGGCAGTGCTTCTGAAGAAAGAGATTCATAAATTGAAACCTGAGGATGAAATAGGACTGGTTCCATATTCTCCGTCCCCTGTGGATTCAAATTCCGCTATTATCACTTACTTCGTTAATGTGTTGTGTTAAATACCAAAAAAAAAATACTGAGATTAAAAAAAAAAAAAGAAACATAAAAACAAGTATTACTAAAGTTACAAATATTCCTGCATATACTACTACATGAGCGATCATACACTATCAGGGAGGAGGAAGTGGTGGTGGTGGTGGCAATGGGCCAGGCGAATTTCGACACAGAGGGCAAGTAGCGTTGATCTTAAGCCACTCATCGATACAATCGGCGTGGAAACAATGCTTACATTCAGGTATGCTACGTAATGTCTCATTTGGCCGGTACTCAGACAGACATATCGGGCAAGAATTGTCGTCGGGCTTGGGCAGGCGCCGGCTCTCACCGAGGACCAGCTTTGGGTAGGATTCTATGGTGGCTCCATCAAGACCCATCACAACGATGGTGGGTTGTGGTGTGACGGTTGATGAGGCCGAATCCCTGTTGGCGTTGCGCCTCCCACCGTAATACTTGACCTTGCTGCAGACATAGCATGCCATCCCAACAGCGCACATCATTGCTGGCATGCCCACGCCTATGGAAATGGCGTATCGAATGCTTCTTGGAAGACCTGAAACCCAAATCACATAATCAAATTCCAAAAGTTCTGGTTCAATGACAAATGGTTTAGTGTTCAATAATTAGTTAAATTTAACATGAGGTATTAGTGGACCTGTATTTATTCACCCTTCAATCCAATAAACTTTTATATAAAAGGGCAAGTTAGATAATAAAAAACTATTTAGAAATTTCACCTAACAGTTGAAAGCCTTAAACTTAAACTTGGGGACCTATTATTTGATGAATCCATTGGTTTCAGACTCTATTGGAAATCGACGCTCAATACACATATCTATCAAGAAAACAACACTCAAAGCATCATCATTGTTTTCATTCCATAGGCCCATTGTGCGTGTTTAATCTCTTCGGGCCACAGAAAATTCAATCAAATTCAAACGTATGAGTTGATGACGATCGTGGTTGAAAGAGGACAGAGGACTGGACTTGACTCGTCTCTGCCCCACCAGAATGAACATGCCAATTCTATACGGTACCCTGGACTTTTTCAACACGGTTTACTGTTTATATTTCGCCTGCGTCAATGGCTAATTGGCTGTAGCAGTATTTTCAGTCTTCTTGAAATGGGGGACATTCAATTCAATCCATTAAATTGAAAGGGGTCCACTTCTAACCAAGGTTCAAACTATCGGTCGTATCGTATTGGTATTTAAAAACGGCCAAAATTTTACTTTTTTTTTTCATATTTTGGATTTTTTAGAAAATTTTTTATTATTAAAAAAATTGAGGGTCCAAAACCGTATCTTTTTCAAAAGATACAATACGATACATTCGATACTTTAAACCATGCTTCTAACGCTGACTCATCTTCATCTAATTAAAATTAAACCAGTGTTTTTGAACCACGGTTATGGACAATCAATCTGTCGACACGGAAACCCGGTTTTAAAAACCTTGAATTAAACTATGATACTGATATATTGTTGTGTCTGTGTTTGTAGCACATCAGGAGTCCCCTAAGACATGTTAATTAACTTCAACCAATGCCTAGCTAACTGATTATTGTTAGCTAAAGAAAAAAGAGCTTAACTGAAGGCAGAATCTTTTGAAATACCCATCTTTCAAATGGATGAATAACTTTATCACATGAGGAGAAATTTTACAAAACATAGTCTATTCTAACAATATCTTGTTATGGGTTAAAAGGTAAAAAACAGTTATTGTATAATTTAATTGGGAATCAAAAGAACATAGACAAATAAACTTGGATAAATGATCTCGTGAAAAACAAACAGGGCCTTGCACGTGCACTAATGAATATGAACATGTATAACCCATTAGCTTGGATGAGATCTTTCTTTTTGTTCTCTTGCCATCTTAATGGTCACTCTTGTAATTTGATTTGAAGCAATGAACCCTTCGTTTAAAAGCCTAACTGATTAGGAATCATGATTTATTTATGTATTTTTGATAAATAAATTGTTGCTGCTCAACCACCTTACCTAAAAGATACTGAATAAACTTTAGAAATTTATTGCATAAAAGATTTATAATTAAAGAACTCCATTACTCCAAGTTCAACCGTTGTTTTTCTGGTACTTGCATGTCATTAAATTTGATATATTTTCCTGGTATAATTTTTTATGTGAGAATGATTAAAACGCTATGATCCCCTCCAACAATGGTATTCATTCTTGTGAAATTAGTCATATTAAATTTGAGCCAGGCAAGTCTACCAATTAATATTCCTCCAAACCCAATTCTCGTTTCTGACTTTCTGTATAATCGAATAAATATTAGAAAAAATTCTCAATTAATATCTTATACTTTGGGTCTAGTCTCATTTTGGTCCCTGAATTTTAAAATGTGATAATTCAGTATTTGAACTTTCAAAACGTGTCAATCTAATACCTACCGCTAACTAGCTACTAACCAGTCATTAAGTAGCATTTGAAAAAGATACAAATGCCATTCGAATGTTATCTAATTTTCTTTATAAATCATTTAAACTTGACAAAGAATTTACAGTCCCAAATCTTTCCCTCTTCTATTCAAGACAGTTGAAGTCACAATGCCCACTGACACATGACCCAAACTTTCTTGAATAGAAAAGGTAAGAATTTGGGATTGTTAATTTTTGGTCAAATTTAAATGATTTATAAAAAAAAATTGGATGACATTGAAAGGGCATTTGTGTCTCTTTCTAATGCAGTTATTGTAAACAGCTAGTTGACACTAGGCTCAAAGTATATACTAATTGAGAATTTTCCCAAAATATTAATATAACTTGTCCAAATTAAATTCGGATCTGGGTACATCGGAACAGATCCGATCCGTTTGCAGTACCCACTCGTTCTGTCTGCGTCAACACTGTACTGTTCAAGTCTATACACCAACTTCTGTCTGAAAAGAGTCTGTCCTGAAGCTTCAGGTGGTGTCTTCCTCAGAAAGAAGCCTTTAACCAAGAACCAAGATTCATTGTAGCAAAATCGGATGAGAAGATTCAGAACTGAAAACAGTAGAGTGAAGAAAGAACACTCACCGCGTCGTGGAACATCGAAGCATCCGGTTTCAAGAGTCGTGTTCGTCTTGAATCTGCACTTTCCATCCTGCCCTTCACAATCTCCGCAGTTGGGTGCGTCCCATGTCAACCGAAGATCGTCGTTGAATTCAATCGGTGGAACATCGAAGCTGCTTTCGTAATCCTCCGACGAAACCGGAACCGAGACGGTTGAAATCAGCTTGCATGGTCGCCTGGGCACATACCCAGTAGGGATGAGGGCAGCATCAGTGGCAAACACCTTGTGGGTGGAGCTGCTGAGACAAGGGATGATGATTTCCGGCCGAAATCTCATGGAGTCCGCGGAGCAGTTGAATAATTGGTAGGTCTGATAGTAATCGCCCCTGAAAGGAGTAGCTGAGAGATTCAAGTGCAGTAATCTTCTGGGGAGGCAATTGTTTGGATCCCCGATTCGTATCTCCTGTCTGGCATAATCGATGCTCTTCACCCAAAATCTTCCTGAGAACGGCAACTCCAGAAACGTCCTGCTCAGATTACCGCTGCAACTAAGATCGAAGCCTGGATAGCCACAACGCTCCGGCTGGAGACCCTTTATTCGGAAAGGAAACCGCACGGCGAGCCCGTTGGCGTGGCAAACCGAACTGGAGCACGATTGTGCTCTTACTGTAATACCTGAAAACAGGAAGAAAAAGAGAAGGAAGAGGAAGAAGACTCCCATGGTTGTGTTAACGTTGTGTGGGTCGATGTATTTTGTCTTGGGTTGGGTATGTATATAAGCCTAGATCGATGAGGTTGAATTTCTCCTCGAAAGTCAAAAATCTTGGCTGCTATACTGTAACTAGGTGGGACAAGTAGATATAGTGGCAAATAGGTGGGACATATCCAACCATTGAAAGTTACACACCGTTGGATCGTAATATTTTTCAGATGGAGACCATCTGGGTGGGTAAATTATATTAATAATAAGTATTGGTATCATAATAGAAACCATCAATCAAATCTCTTTCTATGTCTAAAATCCAAATGGAGAAGAAGGGAGAGGTATATAGTATGGCAAGACCTAGAATTTAATTTTCAGGCCGAAGCCCATCCATGCATAAGAAAAGGACGTGATAGAAATAATGAGGCCGCCCCAAGCTGGCCCATTCTGGCAGTTCCAAGTGAAAGACTGAAACTCCATGTTTTTCAAAAGCGGACCGGACCAGACGGTTGGACCGGAAAAACTGATAACCGTTCAGTCCCCGGGTCCGGTTATACTATAAACCGGTAAAGCCTTAAAATCCATTGAAAAAGTCAGAAAACCACTAACCCGGGCAACGGTTTGCAGGTTACAAATTTTATTTTCGCTAAAGTTGATGGCTGAGCAGGTGGTGGACAGCGGTAACCAACAATTTTGTAGGAGTGGGATATGGGATACCCAGGCTCTGGAGGTGGCAGTAGCTGGTGGCTGAGCAGGCGGTGGATTTTGGACAGTTATGTTGTCGTCGGTACGTTGATTCTGTGGAGGTTGGTTAGTCGACATTCCTACAGACATGTGCATCTTCAAATACACGTTGTGCTGGTGACTGTTGACTGCTATCCATTGGCACTCCGACTGTCGGACATATGATAGTGTTATGGGATATGGGATACCTAGGATCCAGAGGCTGCAGTAGTTGGTGGCTGAGCAGGCGATGGATTTTGGACGGTTATGTTGCCATTGGCACGTTGAGCCGGTGGAGATTGGTGAGTTAACATTCCTGCAGACATGTGCATCTTCATCTTTAGAGTTCAAATATACACTATGCTGGTGAGTGTTGACCGCTATCCATCGGCACTCCATAGTCCAGATGCCGGACATATGGTAGAGTTACGGGATACGGGTCTAGCAGTAACCTAAGTGTATTTTTCTATTTTTTTACAATTTTCTGTGTTTTATGTAGTTTTTTTTTTGTATTTTATACACATGTATGAGTATGATTAAATGCATCCTAACTTATCTTTATTTTTTTTGTATTTTTTGGCGTTTTTTCTGTATTTTTTAGAATGTTTTTATACTTTTTTTGTATTTTCTATTTGCTATGTATTTTGTTATTTTTGTACTTATATAGTTTTGTTTTTCTGTTTTTTTTTTTTTATTTTTTTGTGTTTTTTTTGTATTTTATTTTTATATTTTTTGGTAAAAGTATTTTATTTTTATATTTTCTATGTGTTTTGTACTGTATTATTTTTGTATTTAGATAGTTTTATTTTTTTTGTATTTTCTGTATTTATTTTTGTTTTCTATTTAATTTTATGTTATTTTTATTATTTATAAATACATTTTTTTATTTCAAATTTATTTATGACATCATGGGTCAAATCATCCGATCCGAACGATTGAACCGCTTAACCAGAAACCGATCCCCTGACCGGTTTTATTTCCGATTCGTTTTTAAAAAGCTTGTGAAACTCTGAAACGCCGAAGAGAAAACAACCGTGGGACAGATTCAAAATGTACGTCGGGTCAAAGTAGAGTTCACGTTGAAATTTGGAATGAGGCCAGCCCAGCCGGTTCCAGTTGTAGTCTAGTGTAAGCAGGCACGATTATTCCCAACGCAAGGCGATAAAGGCCTTTGTACGGGTCTTTATCTTATGAAAAGTATTTAATAAGTTTGATTATTGGCCGTTCAATAGAGGTTTAGTCATGTACCCATGCTTACATGCACAATTTCTATTACTAATCACTAAAAAATTCTAATGGAAAAGTAAGCTTTTGACAATAATAAAACTCACCAATAGGGTATTCTTCGAAGGTTTTGAAAAGTTATAGCGAGTTTAAGCGAAGAATTCGAATGAGCTGGTGACAACATTATACACACCAGGCTGAGCTACCTAACACACTTGACCACACCAATATTCAGTATAGATGGGGCCAACAGTGAGCATTGGCATAAGCAACCCAGCCTGGTGTGTATGATGTTGTCTTCAGCTAATCCACTCCCGCGAGCCAAATGCAAAAAATGTTATGGTGAGTTTTAGATAACATCCTTATAAACAAAAATACATAAAATGTGTTGCCAAGGTAATGTTTGTCAATGTGAATGGTTTTCTTTTCTAAAAATAAAAAAGCAATTGTTATATCAGTAAAAATGTATTATTTTTGTTGATATGGCATATATTTTCTATTTTAGAAAACAAAACCATTGAAATGAGCAAGCACTCCTAATTGTGTGACATTTTTTCTTTTGTAATTAAGAATATATTTCTTTTTTTTTGCTTCCAGAATTATGTTTCTTTCTTAATGCTTGGTTTTGGGAATATTGCAAATAAAAGTATGTATAGTGTAAATGCAGCATTTCTAAAACATAGAATATTGGGATAGAGAGATGATTACGAGGAAAGACAATACACACTAAACATTTCCCTTGAAACCTAACATGGCCACCTGGCTAAAATATTGATGCATTAAAAACCTTATTTACTTCCATCATTTTGCCATGCAATGCAGTGGGGCCTGCCAAAAATCCAGTCTCAAACAAGTGAGATAACTTGTTTTCTAGGATAATCAATGTAGTTAAGTGAATGATCTCCATAGGCCAAGGGAAGAAGGCTACGCATGCTAGACAGATAGGGATTGCTAGGGGATTACTGTTGAGGCTTCATTAGTACAAGTTTCATACTTTTTGGCTCGTATATGTATACATCTTGTTTTTGGTTAGAACAAGAATCAAAATATTGATACTGCATATCATATTGGATAAATCGGATATGGATATGCTTAAGAAATGCATGAACATAGACAAACAATATAAAGACATTTAGATATACTACGGAAATGTATACAAATTACATTAATGCATTAATAACATTGAATCCAAGGCAAAATTATCTATAAATAAGGTATAAAGCATAAGAAATACACACTTTAATAAATTATATGAATATAAACATTACAATCAACAATACCAAGACTCTAGAACATATACCCATCATACAATAATTACCACTCTATTTTAATTTTAATAATTATATTTTTCAAATTTTATTAATTTTTGGGAAAATTAATAACACATTTAGTCATGTCCACAGTCTAAAAGGTAAAATTTTTAAAAACTCCATACCTAACAGATCTTTTTATTTTCAAAATGTCCCTTACACATTTAATCATACTCTATTATTAGCAACACACTAATATTATACTTTATTAATATTTTGCAAATAAAGTAACAATAGTAACAATACTAATAAAGTAATAAAACAATAATGAAAATCATAATAATAATAATAATAAAGGTATTATTATTATTATTATTATTATTATCATAATTTTATTATTTTATGAATGCTATTATTTTTTACTATTATTTTATTAATATTTAATAATTCTTTATTATCTTATTGATATTTTATTATTGATAAAGTTAATTATCATTTACATTAACATCCACTTAATAAGATTTTATTGATGTTAAATATCACTAGCATAAATATCCGTTTTCAGAATTCAGCATTTAGATTTCAAATAAATAATCTATTCATTTAGATTTCAGATGAAATAGAAAAACACATTTTATTTCTAAGTGCTTTCTTTCAAAGTTTTTTTCCCTCCTTTTCAGACATCGGGCTTTAGAGCAACAAAAAGGACAAAATGGCACCTTGTTGGAAGTAAAAGATGATGGCAAAGCTTAAATCCAGTTAAATAAAATGAATCACCTAAATAAAACTTTGTCAAAATAAATATTATAGGCAAAATTGAGATTGTTAAAGATTTACGTGATCAGCATTTTTTATTAAGGCCGTGTTTGGTTGCAGTGCAAATTTATTTGCACTAATACAAATGCATGGGAGTGCAAATGTAAAAAATACAAATTTTTGTTTAATTTTGTCTTGGATTCTATTTTATTCTGTTTCATGTTTTAATTTACTTCATTTGTACTGCAATCAAACAAAATAAGCTAACATTTAAAACATAAATAGGTCAGAATTTACACTCAAATCATTTGCACTGTCATAATATAGTCTAAGGTTCATTTTGGAAAGATCACAAATACAAATATGTATAATACAATTGTACAAATACATACAAAATAATATAAAATATAAGATTTTACACTCTACATATTTGTATTTGTACTCCTTCCAAACTGAGCCAAATAGACTTAAGTGAAGGGGTAGAACGAGGGTTTTATAGGGGCCAAAATGTATAGGAGGTTTTAAGTACTTTATATCATGGTTTTCAAAACTGGACTAGACTGGACGGTCAGACAAAAAAAACCGGGACCCATCAGGTGACCAGTTTCGGTTTTCTCCAAAATCGTTAATTTTGGTCAGCAAACTACTGACCCGGGCAGTTAACCGTTCCAACAGTTTTTACCATTTTTTATTTTTTGTCAGAACGGGCCGACCGTTCAGTTTGAACGGTCAGACTATTCGACCCAGTAACCGAACCCTTGGCCGGTTCGATCTCCGGATCGGTTTTAAAAACCATGCTTTACATACATGTATTAAAATGACCATTATAAAACACACATCATTTGAGATTCTATGGGCTGACGATAACAAATACCAAGGGCGAAAATGACCATTATAAAACACAAATCATTCCCACAGGGTGTTGATGAATTGATTGTTCTCAAGGCACCATTAAGATGAACCTTGTTAAAAAAATGAGAGAAGCATGTGAACATTTCAGGAAAAAAAAAACTAAATTAAAGGAACAAAATGGTCTCATAAAATAACATAAGGGTATCTTGAGGATTAAAAAGTGTTTAACAGAATATTCCATGATGAGTTTAATTGTTGGAATACTAATATATAATGGGGGAAATGCTGGAATTGAAAATTTTAAGGGGATCTTTGTTGCAAAACAAAGTTCGGAGGGCCAAGTGTCACTGTCCTCTAAGTACATGGTGGCTGTTGGCAATTTATCCAAAATGTTATTAACCAAATTTCCCTTAACTTGTCATTAAACAAAATTATTCATGATCATAAAGAAATAATAACAAAATTAACCAGGGAGCAACAAGTAAGCACATGGGTCATTTGGTGTAGTTAAAAAGAGAAATCCAAACATAAGGTTTTGTGTGAAGGATAAATTTTAAATAGAAAGAGTACTCTTAGTACAAATACAAATATACACAGTACAAATACAAGGTTTTGCACTCTACATATATATTTGTATTTGTACTCCTTCCAAACTGAGCCATAGGAAATTAGGAATCAACTAAGGCAGCATTTCGTTGCAGTACAATTTTATTTGCTGCAGTACAAATGCATGGGAGTGCAAATGAAAATAATACAAATTTTGGTTTAATTTTGTTTTGGATTTTACTTTATTTTGCTTCAGATCTCATCTTACCTCATTTGTATTGCAATTAAAACAAATAAGATAAATTTGAAACAATAAATAAATCATAATTTGAATACAAATTATTTGGACTACTACAGTTTTCCATCAATACAAATTTATTTGCAATGCAACCAAACACAGCCTAATTATGACTTTTGGCAAATGTTAATGAATTGATATTCAATATTTGCAATGCAACCAAACACAGCCTAATATAAGAGAGAGAGAGAGAGAGAGAGAGAGACCAATAATCCAAACTTCTTAGATATGTGGACTTTTCTCAAAAAGGTTGTAAAAATCTAAAAATTATACAAGAATATATCTTATGTTGAAAAGGAAAATTTCTTTATTTCTAAAAAAAAAATCAAAATTTAGAAAATTAATTTACTTTATATACTTTAAATGATTTTCATTGTAAGGGAGAACTACAATATAGATATATAAATAATCTATCAAACCCATTGATCTAACACCAATTTAATGAGTCTTAGAAGGATTTTTTTAGCATATTGGAAGCCAAAACATTGCTTAATATTACTAGTAAAGTTATTGTATGATATCTACACGTTGTAGATTTCCAAACTTGTTGATTATAATGTCTCTCTTAATTCTTTGGGTTTATGAGGGTATCCCCCTCGTGCATATAACCCCCAACCCTAGTTGAAGCAAGATTTGATCCCAATTATCCACTACCATAAGCCAAAGACCCTATCAAGCAAGTCATCATCAATTGGTAATTATTATAGTATACATTTCCTATGTGTTTATAATGATGTATTTATAGGATTTATAAGAGTTTTGTAATGCATTCAAGCAGTGGTAGAGTCAAGAAAATGTGATAGGGAGGAGAAATAGGGTTTGGGGAAAATTGGTCCGAGAAGATTTGGGTCTATTGTAGATTTTTGAAAGAAATAATAATATTATATATATTTTTTTAAATTAGGAGAATTGGAGAAGGAGCCTTAAAGAGTGACCCTTTACAATTCTAGTTGAAAATTTTTGAGGGGTGGGGGCAAGGACCCACTACATTATATTTTTAATTCAGCCTCCACTACATCCTTATCAACCAAGATGACTTGGGTGGAATTGGAATTGTCAATTCCACGAACCCTCAAATTCTGCCGTTTGGATGTAATTTTTGCCATCATAGGAGGTTGCAACAAGGGGATTCAAATTCCATTTCACTTCCAATTACACAAATTTCTCATAATTTGTTGATAAGATTCCTTGCCATTGCCAACAAGAAAAGTGTTTTGATAAGTCGAGGACCATGGTGAGCCATAGGTGTTCACCGTTAGATCTGCAATTCTTTAATTCGAATTCATAGTTTCATCGAGAAAGAAGCAAAAACAGAAGGAAAGCCAAGCGAAATTTCATGGACGATCAGTTTCATAAAGAATGAAACCAATGGTGTTTTGATTCATGAGTAAACGAACTCTCATTCGACCTCGTTCTGGCGGGAAAGTATTCCTGAAGCCCATAATACCCATACAAAAAGGCCCTTCACTCACGGTCTCCTACACTCTCCCCTCATAACCTCCGATACGAGTCCCCCTCCCCTTCTCTGCTCTCTGAAAACCCTCCATTTTCCCTCTGCTCATCGCCTTCTCCCGGCCTTCGTTCAACACTTGACGTTCTAAGCACTATCTTAGAATATTTTCCTCGCATCGTACGTTTCTTTCCCTTCCAAAGAGTAGGGTTTCTTGTCCTAGGGCATTCAACTAACTTCTCAGTCTACAGATAGATTTAGTTCGTCTTGTTAAAGTTTTTGCAGGTTGCTCGATTAAATTCCGCGGGAGTCAGGGGTTTTGATTAGTCAGCCTACGAGTTTGGTGAAGTCGTTTGGCTTTGTCAAAATGGCGGATGCGTTCGAGGAAGAAGGGGAACCGACGGTATCAATCCATGAGTACCTTAACGAAGTTGAAGAGCAGGAGTTGGTATGATTCCTTCCCCCTATTTGGCATCCAGGGTTTTGTTTTGAGTGTGGAAATTTCGGATTTCCTCTGATGTTAATGCTGCTTTCTCTCCGGTGTTGTGATGGGTTTTCCTGCAACTGTAATATTCACCTTCTTTGGTTTTTGCGCCTACTCACATTTATCTCTTTGTGTTAATTTTGTTTATGTTTCAACTGAAAGGAAGCTGATTTGGTTTTGGGAGGGGATGAAGGCAAGGAATGCACCTATGAAAAGGGTTATATGAAGAGGCAGGCGATTTTCTCATGCTTGACCTGTACTCCAGACGGAAATGCTGGGGTCTGCACAGCATGTAGCTTATCTTGCCATGACGGTCATGAGGTATAACATGGATGTACTTTTTTTTCTACTAATTTAGTGATTTTGGGAATGCGGTCAATTTGCTTAGATAACGTATTAAGCATTCAATATCATCTGTACGAGTTGCCCATCATTAGGTCTAATATTGGGGCTATAGATTTTATACTTTAGGGAGATCATTGACATTGATTAACATTCTCAAAATGTATGACTATTGCATTGTCAAAAAATTAAATATGTCCTAATTCATGCACCTGAAACTTCAGTATTTTTCTTAAGCATTCAATGAGTATATGGACGTGGGAATCAGAATCCAATGTCTGCCCAAGGAATCTAACGCAGTGCAAAAATGTATGGGTTTGGGGATAGATCATAACATATTATAGTACTTTCATATATGTGTTATTTTGTATGAATATGTGTATGTATTTATACCTATGCTTGTGTGTTTTAAGGTTTTTAGACATATGTTAACTAGAATTGATAGATGGTTTCAGTTCTGTCCTCTTTTGGTTCCAAGCAACTGTTCTTTCCCTAGTTTCCGCAGGGCATTTCTTTTCTTGATCATATTATATGTTATAATTCTATACTGAACTTACCATTAGTGACAATTATTTCCTGCTGGTACTTGGTGAAGGTTGTTGAGTTGTGGACTAAGAGAAACTTCCGGTGTGACTGTGGAAATTCAAAATTTGGGGTGTTCTTCTGCAAGCTTTTCCCAAACAAGGATCCAGAAAATTCAGAGAATTCATACAACCATAACTTCAAAGGTGCCTATTGCACTTGTGGTCGTCCATATCCTGATCCAGATGCTAATGAACAGGTGGAGATGATACAATGTTGCATCTGCGAGGATTGGTTTCATGAGAACCATATTGCCCTTGATTCTAATGAAACTTCTGAAGAGGTTTGTTGGCTATTAATTCTTGCAACTGGATCATATGGAGTCTGGACTCTGTTTTTGGTTAAGCTGCAGCCTGGTTGTTAGATGCTCCCTTTCTTTTATACTTTTCATATTTTCTTCTGGTTAGTCCTTGTGAGGGTTCTATACCGCATATTAGATAGTATGATTCAAACCACATATCAGATAGTATGATTCAATGCCATCTTTTCCTGTGGTAAAGTAGAAGCTCATCTTGGGTGTCTAACTGGTAAGGGGCTTGGTGGATGCAGCTGATGCTCAAAATTACGTTAAAAGATTTCCCTAAATGTCTGGCTAGCCCATAAACCATGATAGATGTATTTGTTAAACTTAGGCTATATCTTATTGTTATCCGGATATGGCAAGCACATGGCTGGATGCAGTATCAGATAAGAAACTTATACTGAAAATTGAAGTATTCGATGCAATACAGCAACCTTGTACAGGTATCTGGGTATCATAGGCTATGACCCTTTTGTAATCGTTTTTTTTGGGAGTTGACGAGACTATAGAGAAGAAAGGCAGTGTGGGACATGATCTCTTTTGTAATCATTTAGATGGTTTGGGATGAGGCAGACATCTGAATTTTTTAAAATAAATTTAATCCTAGTGAGATAATTAAAAGAAAGGCAATGGGTACCATATACCCATGGTTGGCAAATGGGAATATGCAAAATAGTCAAGTGAGTACTCCTTTTTTTGTAGCTTAAAATCTGGTAGTAAACGTGTCACTATCTTAGCATATTTACTTTTTGTATATTCCCATTGTACCTTATTCTTTGATAAACATATACTCCCATCGTATCTTGCACAGTGCCTTAGCATATATTGGTGCTGTACTGCTGTTGCAATCATCATTTGATACATATAAAACAAAATCACACTTCTCAATGCACACACACACACTTGGGCAATGACCTTATATGAGTTAATCAGTTAGAAGGGATGGACAATGTCATTTTCTTGTTTTTTTTCATGCCTATCATTTATGGCATCTCAGAAGGTCTGAGTTGATGTTCTATCTATCAGACAAATCACAAAGAGGCATATAATTTATGTTGTTAAATAAATGGTGCAAAGCTAATGATTCCCATGATTAATTGATTATCATTATTTCTTCAATATTGTATGGGAAATCATAATGTAGAGTTTACAACAATTTGTTCGTTAGATACGAAGTTATGTTTTATGTTTAATTAGCATTTACAATAATTTCTATGTTTATGATGTTTTCATAATTGAGAATCAGCCTTTGCATTGTTTCTTTATTTCTTCAATTAGTTTATATTCTGACAGTGTAATATTATTATCTGCATTTTTTGCTTGTTCCAAAGATTCCAAGAGATGAGGAAGGAGAACCTTTATATGAGGATTTCATCTGTCAGGCATGTGCTGTTATCTGTTCTTTCTTGACTCTTTATCCTCCTAGCTTTTGGGCACAAGCTAGGCAGAGTGATTCTACAGTAAATACTAACAAAGAGGGAAATACTTTGGGAAATATGTCCTCTGGGAAGATTGAGGATGAGACTTCTTCTCAGTCAATAGAAAAGGGTTCTGCAATTCCACCTGTTTCTGGAAGTTTATCAGGTCAAAAAGATTTATTTCTTGGAGAAGCATCTGATGAAAATAGAATCGTACACCAGTGTGCCCAGAATACTGATTTAAGTCCCAAATGCATTATTGGAATAGATCTGCGGGGGCCTGAAGTGGCTTTAGAGAAAAATAAACCAATGTTTCTTTCTAAAAATTGGAGAGATCTTCTGTGCAGGTGTGTTACTTGTAAGGAATTCTACATCCAGAAGGGCATTGGCTATCTAATTGATAGGGAGGACACAATTATGGAATATGAGAAAATTGCAAAGCAAAAGAGGGAGGAGAAATTACAGCAACAGGAAGGAGTTGATTTAAATTTCCTCAATAAGTTAGGCCATGCTGAGAAGATGGAGGTTCTGAGTGGCATTGCAGATATGAAGAATGAACTCCGATCCTTCCTGGTATGCCCTTTTTTGTCCAAAATTCCCATGCTCTGGTTCAGATTCTTCCTGTATTCTTATTTAGCATGTGAAGTTGCAATTGGAAGGCAGAATTTTATATCATTCTATTTAACGGTATATAGTATGCTGATTTAATATGGTTTATGCAGGAGTCCTTTGACTCATCAAAGCCAGTCACATCTGCTGATGTCCACCAGGTGTTTGAAAATCTTGCAAAGAAACGCAGGCGTTTACCGTAAGTGATTTCCTGGTTCCTTTGTTGTATTACATGTCAACTGTAGTGGCTTTGGGACTCAATCCAAGTGCAGGAACATTCAGAATGCATGTATAGTTGTAGAATGTTCAGGGAGAGAGTTTAACTTGTACTACCATAATCTATGAAATATTTAGGCTTTTATTCACATTTAAGATTTCAGCGGCAGTGTCTATTAATTTTATTGCTAAAAATATACTTTTTATGGGAGCCTATTAGCTTGTTGTTCATTCGGTGATGCTTTCTGATCCAGATCATGGGATCATAGGTTTGGTCTCAATTTACCTGTCATGAGGGAGGAGCATTTTACTCTTTCTGATGAAAATGATTGTTCTTGAATGTTGAATTGTAGTTTAGTTGGTAAATGGTTACAAAACTACTTTTTGGCAAGGCTAGGGCCTAAGTCGTAGGAGATTGGACTCTGTCCTCACAAAACRGTGCTCACACCGTACTCACATCCACTTGCATCTGTGCATTGGGAATATCTCCCCATGAATAAAAACATACAAGTCCGAAGATATTCCCAATACACGGTTGCAAGTGGCTGTGAGGACGGTGTCAGCACCATTTTTGTGAGTAGCTGATTAACTGATGAAAATGATTGTTCTTGAATGTTGAATTGTAGTTTAGTTGGTAAATGGTTACAAAACTACTTTTTGGCAAGGCTAGGGCCTAAGTCGTAGGAGATTGGACTCTGTCCTCACAAAACGGTGCTCACACCGTACTCACATCCACTTGCATCTGTGCATTGGGAATATCTCCCCATGAATAAAAACATACAAGTCCGAAGATATTCCCAATACACGGTTGCAAGTGGCTGTGAGGACGGTGTCAGCACCATTTTTGTGAGTAGCTGATTAACTGATAGAACAATAATGGGTAGTAAGGTCCACCTATAAGAACATTAGTGGCATAGATTTATCCAGTCAACATTCTAAATGGACATTGGCATAGAATCAATGATAAAATTATAGGCCAGTAATTAAGCATTTATGTAAGGGAGTTGCACTGCATATGATAGTGTAAGGGAGTCCTTTCATCCTTTGTATTGCTGTTTGATGTGTCAATGGTTTTAGTGTGTCAGGTAATCTTACCCTGTATCTTGTATGTACATATCGTATTTAATACTATTCTTTTTCAATAGATTGAAAAAACGACATTTTATCTTGTTTTAGTCTTTTAGCAAGTATCTTAGTGCCTTGGTGGTAGTACTTGTACTATGCAATGCCAGGTCAATAAAATGAAAGAGGCCTCATGCAAGTTCTATGTGTTCTGTCTCTTCCTGGGAAAAATCAGGGTTTTTGTGCATGGGCCGATGAGGCTTTTATGGTTCCCAATGGTTTGGGTGATCTCTAGAGGGCACTATTGTTAGACGGTTAGACCTAGATTGGATGTAAAATCAGAAAGCTTACTGGATCTCTGATTTTACTGGAGAGTGGTGGTTCAGCCTGTAAAGATCTGTCTAAAGATTTACCAATCAAAAAAAGTCAAAAGATTGGTACCCAGAAAGTTCACCGGTTACCAGTTCAGCATTTGGATCATTTGATCTGTTCCAGGTCTGACAACATTGCTATAGGGTGTCTAGACATGGTGGATTTGAGATTTATTAATTTCTTAAATTTTAGGCCCAGAGGGGAAGATTCAGTTTGATATGAAATTTCAATATTCAGAGAACCCGAGTGGGAATAGAACCAGGAAAGGGAGAGGTTAATGTGTCAGTGGTTCAGCCAGGTTCAAATTGGAGGTCAAATTGTCATGTGGCACATATGCATATAAACTACGGGTCATATAAATACTATATATAATATATTTTATATCATACTTAATTGTGGTGGATGGATGGCAAGTTAGTTTTTAAAGTAAATGACCAGGGTTCAATCTTTTGAACTCACATTTTCTTTAAAATATGTGTAATAAAGTAATACATACAACAAAAAACTCGTTAATTAATACAAATAAAGAAATGGACTAATGGTAATTGATCTAAACACATAAATAAGAGGTTATGGGTTCAAGTCTTGCCACAAGCATTTTGAAATTCTGTTTATTTAATGGCTGGGGCTGTTTCGTGAAACTGGGATTGGTTCACCGGTTCAGTTAACCCCGTGAGCAGCTGGTTTGACCTTTTTGGATATGACTGAACTGGCCAAAGGCCTGGATCATGGTTCAACTGATCTGACTGACCAGTCAGGTCCGGTTTCCTAAACACTGAAATTTGGGTTAACTTTATTTTTTTAATGCTTTTGTTGTTCATAGTCAGTCTTCTAAAATTTTCCTGTAATTTTATTTTTGTAAAAGTTGTATTAATAAGACTCGCTATTCATGGTAATTCTTGTAATTACTATTGTAAGTAAAAACGTTATTTACTATTTATAATAACTTATAGTACTTTAATTATGTCTTTTAGATCTTTAGAAGCTTTGGAAAGTCTTGATAGTTTTTGATGGGGACTTCTTGCATGTTGTTCTAGTCCATAAAGTTGTCTTACAAAAGTTTTTATTCTTCTAGGACACAAAATAAGTAATTGGAATTTGGTGATTTTGTGGTGTATTCCCCCCTTTCTCCCTACTAGCATCCAAATGCATTTTTGTCTATTTTTCTTCTCCAAGGGCATGCATCAAATCTCAAACTGACGTCTGAATCTTGTCCATTCTTATTGGATTCATCACTGGATGTTCTTGCTTGATCTATCTTCAAGCATGAGATGTTTTGAGAAACCAACACAAGTTTAACGTAAACCCCAAATGCATTAGAGATTTGGTTAAAGAGAAATGTTGTCAAAGTACAAAAAGGATGATTTCCACTTTGGATTAGTCTCTGAAAAGAAAGAAACAAAGAATGTAATTTTTTGGTACAATCGGGATGAAATGACAGATGACAATTTTGTTGTAAGATCTTGGGTCTTTTTTTATCCAAATCAATGAATTTATGCTTCTCCAAGATCAGTCCAGGCTATTTTTGGAGGTTTGGTGGGTTTAAGACTTTAAGGACTAAATAAAAGAGGCGAGCTTTTATTTGTCCAGCAACGTCATATCTGGTCGGGAATTCTTGGAGGTTGAGGATGGATTTTGTCCAGCAACGTGCATGGTTGTGACATCAAGATATGGAGTAATGGGCAATAAGATTTTGATGAGGCTCTTCTTGACTAACAAGAGAATATACTTTACAAACTGATGGCAAATGTTACATCGCCAGGATCTGGAACGGACGGTGTTGAAAACTTCACTCAAACCCAGCAAGAACTGGTAAACACGTTCTCGTTCCCTTTCACCGGTAAGATCTCTTGTTGCGCCATAGGTGCATGCTCCACAGGTGCAGCCAGCTCGGAATTCTAGAGTAAACCGCTAATTCATCTCAGGTTAACTTAAACTTAGTGTAATAGACAACCATAGATAGATTTTCTTGTCGAAGAACTAATTTTCATTTGAGATGAAGGATTCAGGGAGCATGTCCTAGTGGGAGTCTTTCTTCAAGATCCAATCAAATATCACAAACATGTACTATCTACATACACTACACTTTCATGTAGATTTCTTGCTAGACAATTAAAAATCCATGATACTACCATTGAGTTGCACTTGATCCACATCTGCTCCTCATTGATAAATCTCTTGGGTTTCTAGATCGAGCGATTCATGAAACCAAACTTGTTTTTCGCACAGAGAACAATTTTCGTCGCTCTTTTCCATGTCACATAATTGTTTCCATTGAGTGGATAGGAAACCAGGACTGCACCTGGGTTATCCGACGGGTGCAAGTAGTAACGTTCACTGACAGGCACAGGATATTCCTATTCCCTCACGTTTGTTTGCAGTGTAAATATGGAACAGTGTAATTAAACACTTTAGTTCGGTTTTGTGGATGTTTAAATGGAGTATAATTAAACATTGGAAATCGATGTAAACACAACTTGAATAAAAATGACATAAATATTTACATCAATAATCCGACTTTCCATTTACAACGTCCATAATTACAAACCGATTGGTATATAACTCCATTCCATTGATGTAACACTCAAACGGAGCCTAAGAAATTTGTAAGCAGTCATATAGAATGAACAGTGTTTATACAAAATCACATTCTAGCATTTGCCTAAATTTTATTGTGATCATTGACTTAAACGAGGGGGTTCCAATTACCCTCAAAAAGAAGGTGGATTGGCACCGAACCAAAAATGGTTATTCCTTATAAGGACGAAGGAAATTTATCACGCCTTGCCGCCTTGGCCTCTCTTTCCTTCTCTATTCCTAAAAGGTGCCTTCCAGAAAAAAATGTCACCAAACAATTGAAATTTAAAGGGCTTTTACTTCTCTGTTTTTCTCACACAAAAGCGCACATAAGCTGCGTGGGTGTAAATGATTTGAGTAGAATTGTTTCTTAGGCTGTGTTTTGTTGTAATGCAAATAAATTTGCACTGATGCAAAACTATGGCAGTGCAAATTATTTGAGTGTAAATCTGACCTACTTTTGTTTTAAATTTTATCTTATTTTATTTGATTGCAGTACAAACGAAATAAATTAAGATATGGAACAGAATAATGTAAAACACAAAACAAAATTAAACAAAAATTTACATTTTTTTTCATTTGCATTTGTACTATTGCATAGCAACCAAACACAGCCTTTAAGTTTTATTATGCCCGTGCATTGACTTGAGGGAGTTCTATTTGCCCTTCTATTCGTTATGGATAAGACTAATAAAAGCTACTAGATGGGTGCATTTGGAAGTGGAAAAGGCAAGAGGTGCATTGTAGCTATATCATCATCCTTTTTTTTTTATTGGACCCCTTGTCCTTCGTTTGCGACCCTTAGGCTGTGTTACGTTTGAAGGAAAAAGTAGAAAGAAAAGGTAGGAAAACCCATACAAGGTTTGTAATGGTTTCTCTACCTTTTTCTTCCTTTCCCTACTTTTTCCTTTAAACCAAACATAGGCCTTAAGTTGTTAAAATGTCTTTTTTCTGCTGTTGACAATTGCTGAGTTTTATTATTTGTATTTTGGGGTTATTTTGCGTGTTCTTATATCTACTAGGGCATCTTTTGTGGACTCCAAGTACTTATGGGTGAAATCCCCACTCTATTTGTCGGCGGAAAGCAAAGATGATGAATAGTGGGGTGCTCTGTTTTACCAAGAGGAAGACGAATAGTAGTTTGCTAGTAGAAAGCGAAGACAATGAATAGTGCCTCTGGTCACCATTGCATTGGAAAGCGAACAATGTTGCTGGAGACA